CAGACAGACAGATAGACAGAGAGACAGACAGACGATTCATAATATGATTTTTAATCCATCGATATAAGAAAAGAGGTGCTCGTCCTCAATCCGTTTGGTTGTTGCATGCAGCGGCGATATTGCGATGCACGAATTTCGGGAAAGCGTAAATATTGAATTGTATCCGATAAAGAAATGCATATTTTAGGGCACTTCAAGCTACTCTGATGCGGCCAATTCATTACGATGAACACATCCACTGTAAGCAACTTATTGGGCTCGACAAGTCTGAAAAGTATTCAGTTTTGACCAATTACGGAGTCCAAATCTTTTGCCATGGCAACAACGCTAGACCGCATGTAGCTCAAGAATGGGAAATGCTCCAGCACTGATCACATTCTCCAGATATTCCATATTCCGATTAACTTCCGTATGGAGCGGCAAAAACGTGGACTTCGACAATGTTGTCGGAAATCCTTTCGCACGCACTTTTTCCAAAAAAAAAGAGTCCAAGACGTTTCCTCGAAAAATGGAATCGACAAGCTTATTTAGATCGTTCGTAGATAGCTATAGAAAAATGTGGACAAGTCAGGTGCGAAGCTATCCAGTCGAAACATAGATTTGAACAATTGCAACGCATGCCCATTGGCCTTTTGGGGAAATCCTATCTTAGCTTTTTCTTGCAAGTGAAACCATGTTTCACTTTCTATGGAAACCGTTCGCAAACCAGTTTAAGGACAGTTTAAGTTTAAGGTAAGGTTAAACATCATGAATGCTGTGCCGTGCGCAAAAAAAAGTACATTTTTTTCTTATTTTAAGTCTAACGTGATTGAGAAGACCAAACTTCTTGTGGTATCCGCAAACGATAGAAAACTTTTTTATAAAATGTTTTTCAAAAAGGAATCTGCTTTTAACGCAAGCCCAGCAGTGTAGATAAACGAAGTTTAAACAGAATGCAGCTCCTCCTTTGTCTCATACAATGCAAGCCATAAACTTCTGTCATATATTTGGGAAAGTTTACGTTACTACGCTATCGAGAGAAACTTCTCTTATGCTTTCTTCATAATAAAATTAAATAAGAAAATTCTATGCGACCGTGGTCGAACCATGTCAACCTGCCACTTTTCCATTAAATACGAGTACAAGTAGAAAATATAATTTTCTATTGTACTTCACTATAGTCTTGGATCGGAGCGGCATTTGTACAAGTATTGTAGACCCATCAACAGATTATAGCGTTTAAAGGGGTAAGTTGCAATTATTGTCTTCTATACATATGCATATAAATAAATACTTTAAATATATGCTGGACTATGAGAGCATATTTGAACTAATTTGACCCATTTGGAAGACAAATTGGCGTATAAGAATTTTCACTATTTTTATGAAAGGAAAAGAGACGGACAGGCGAACAGAGAGATCTCCCTAAATCGTTTCAAAATCATAACGCTGATGAAGGATCTGTAAACAGCTAATCCTTTTTTACACGGTCATTTTCATCTGATTTTGATATAACACAATTGACCAATAACGACAAATATACTTTTTTACACGAATTTTTTGTTCGAGCACGAATCTTATGTGCACAGCTGTTAAACAAAATTGACGGAATATAGCGATCAGAAATGGGTCGATTTACGCCCACTTATGTCGTAGTGATTTGGTGTAGTAGGGGGAATAACTCAACTCTATGATCATTCTTCATTTGGCTCGGACTCAACATTTGTGCTAGAGACATGGAACATATCTACTGATGATAGCATTTCTGCTTTAGTTCGTAATAAATGTGCACACTTGTTATCAAGTAGCGATGATGAGTTGCGAAATTAATTTTTATTTTTTATATGTTGTACTTATGGACTGAATTTTCTCTGTACACTACTTCACATTTTTTCGCAATTTCTTTATTTATTTTTTGTAATAAAAATTAGTTGTTGTTGTTTTATGAATATATTTAATATGGATATCATTGTTACTTTTTTTGAGCGGTTTACGATTTTTCCAAATTGTGAAAAGTGTTCCCAAAATTTGCCATATATCGCATGTATTTTTCGGTTCACGAATTTCTAAGGAAAGTAAGTATCTATTGTATAAAAAAAGATGTGCGTGCACTTCATAAGAGGATGGAGATTGCTTCTAGGAAGCTTGCAAACCTTTTAATGAAATAATTATTCCATCCACACTATTCTACGGTATTGTATACGTATACGGAGTGAGATCTGATATCAAGATGTTATTACCACTCAAAGTTTCATCATTTAAATGGCTTTGTAAACTTGAAGGTAAACGTCAATTAGATGCAATTCAATGAACATCTTAGAAGAGAATTTGCATGACCGAAAGGATTTCTCGCGATCAATCAAAGCTTGTCGGAAGCATTATATCGTCATTCTGTTTAAATTCTGTTTTCTTTACATTTTTCTTCTTCTTCTTCTTCTTTTTTTTTTTTTTTTTTTTTTAACTAAATAGTCGACCTGATCGCGAATCCCCCAAATGCGTAAATTGGTAGCGTTATCTCTTTTGTAATCCAATTCACGTTTCGATAGATACAGTGTCAAGCTGCCCTCTTCGTCTGATCATATAATAAATAAACACGAATTCGAGTTCATTCAACTGAATACTCCAATGGGAAATATTAGTTAATTAGTTACGGTAGATGAAACTGTTGACCTTCATGCATGACATAAGCATATAAGTTACAAGCTTCAAGCAATTTGAATGATTTAAAATTGAATTTAATTTTGTGCACTTTCTCGTCACTGATCAGTTGATCAATTAGAAGATTAGCCCTACTTAAGTGGGTAAGTACTAAACGTTTGGGTTTAAAGTTTTCACAAACAAATTCTGATTTCTTTGTCCTTCGGACGAAATTAAGCTCATGTAAGCGTTTTGCAATGCAAAATTATATAACAATTTATTGATCTTGTTACTATTTATGATTTTCTTTATTATAAAATGTGCATTATATGAATTGCTTGCGTTATTGACAGCCAATAAGTCGTTTGATTTATATTTCTATGTACCCTCTCCATTCGATTCTCCCTCTCTCTCTCTACCCTCCACCCGAGTGCTTGACTGGTGTATAAATGTATATACACACATATATATATATATATATATATATATATATATATATATATATATATATATATA